ACACATATATATAAATATATGTATGAAATATACACATACAGAAATAAACACATGTATATATATACATATATATATATATATATACACATATATCTTTTATCTAACTTTCACATCCCACTGACTGGACCCTCCCTCTGTCTGCAGTAGAGATCTTCCTAAGTAACAAACATAGTCAGGAAAAATAAATCAACTCCGTGAAAATGTCTGGAAATATTTGCTCATTTCTCACCTCTAGTCTGCCATTTTTCTCCTGAGTCTTGAGAGATATGCTTAGCCATCAGTCTTCAGAAGTTGTGATTGGCCACTTCATTGATCGATCAACCAGTAAGCGAACAAGTGTGTGACTGCCGTGTGCAATGTCTTCCTTATTTTGCTCTGCATCATTTAACACAAGTCTGATTGGATGACTTCTTGCTTTGGGTGGTCATAGCATGAAGGTAAGAGTTGAGAGATACAGACAGACTAGTAAGCAATTACATTTCCAGTTACCTTAGGAAAAGTGTTTTACTTAGGAAAGTGAGATTCCTTTTGTCACCATGAATTACTCCAGTGATTTCAAGGATGGGGAACCTTCAGCCTTGAGGCCACATGTGGCCTTCTAGGTCCTTGGGTGCAGCCTTTTTACTGGATCCGAGTTTTACAGAACAAATCTTTTATTAAGGGGCTTTGTTCTGCGAAGTTTGGATGCAGTCAAAGGGCTGAACTTGAGGGAACTTGCAGACCTAGAGGGCCGAAGGTTCCCCACCCCTGTTTTTGATAATTGGTCTGTTTTACTGAGAAAGAGTCATGCATTTTAGCTTCTTTACCCTTCATTTTGTCACTTTGAAAAATACCTGGAAGAATTCTCCATGTTCTGCCTTTTCCCATCTCACCCCCAATTGCTTTTGGTCTCAAGCCAAAATCAAAAACAAAATTGTCCCCAGTGGCAGAATTTGCATTCTTTCAGAAAAGAATTTCTTGTGGAAAGCTGGCTGGGAATAATAACAGAAAGAAAAAACAAACACACACACACAGACGTTTTGATGTTTTGTCATCTTATCTAAAGTTCGTGCTGGAAATAGTTGCTGTTATTGTTGTTTGGGTGGGAGGGGCAGAAATCTGTTAAAGTTGTTTCTAGGAATGCAGTCCTAATATCCAGGGTGAAGAGATGCCTTTTCCTTAAAGCAATCCTGATGGGGCTGATGGAGCCTGGCTGGGGGAGGCAGAACGCTGGTTCTGTGATGCTCTCCTACTATGATATCAGGAGAAGAGGAAGAAATAGAGGAAGTGAATTGGGTGCCCCAGGTGGGGTAGGGGTTGCTCTTTTGTGAAGCTCCCTATAAATGGGAGTTGTTTTATTATTAGAAATGAAGGGTCTGAGAACCATAGGATCTGCTGCCCTCCCCCTGAGGTTTTCTAGATTTTTTTTTTTAATTTGTGATTCACTCTGATTCAGCCCTTACTAATCTGTGGGGGCACAGATTGCACAGAGCAAGGTTGATCGGGGGTGGGGCTGTATAGATGCTATGCAAGTGTGAAGGGAGGGTTGCTGCTGGAAGAGTAGGCAAGGAATACCAGTAGGTCCCCCTGCTCAAAAATTCCCCCTCCCTGAATTAGAAATTCAGTTGGATGAATAGTTTTACTTTTAAAATGAGAAGTGACCTTGTAGAGAGAGTTAAACCTACCCAGTCATTCATACGTTACTGTGAATTACTTTAATCACATAGTTAATAGGACCATAGAATTTTTAGACTATAAAAGAGCCTTATAGTCTAACAGCCTCATTTAAACTGAATGCCTTCTCCCAGAGCTGGGAGTGAGGTGACAAAGTCAGCATTTGAACTCGGGTATTGTGACGTCAAATACAGCTTTCTGCAATTTCATCATAAATATTCCATGATATTCACATGCCACAGTTTGTTCATTTGGATATACAACTTGTGTCCAGATTTGTGCTACTATGAATGAGTCCATCTCTCTCTCTCTCTCTTCTCTCTTCTCTCTCTCTCTCTCTCTCTCTCTCTCTCTCTCTCTCTCTCTCCCCCCTCCTCCTCTCCCCCTCCCTCTCTCTCTCTCTCTCTCTGTCCCTTGGTGGGGGTAGGGGACATACATGTACTCTCTGAACCTCAGTTTCTTCATCTATAGTAGTGACTGCCTTACAGAGTTGGGAGGCTCATTGAGATAATGTACCTGGAAGTGCTTTTGCAAATCTTCAAAGGCTATATGAAATGCCAGCTCTTATGCAAAAGAGGCAGATTCCTGCTGTTAGATTGGAGACTTGCCTGGTGGACAGACACCAGGAGCTAGGGAGGTGCCTAATAAATGTTCAGTTGATCTGTGACTGAGTACATGCTGGCATATGCATCAACCACTCAGGAACACATATGCTGGGGTTGCTTGCTGCTACCGTAGGGCATGAAGTATCCCATCAGTAACTAAATGAATTAGGGGACAGACTTGGTGGTTTGTAGGTTTCTAATTTACTTAGAATTATTTATTACAGCTTTTTTTGCTATTTATTTCAATTCAAAGTTTGAAGCAATAGGTGCTTGTGGTTTCTGACAAACTCTTCTTCGGTGTGACTCCACTCTTTAGGTTTTCTGATGTAGGATGACTGAAGAGTTTTTGAAGCCTGTCATCCCTCAACAAGATGTTTATTTCAGCTTTGTATGTGAGTGAAGAAAAATCTGCCAAGCCACTAAGACATTTTCACTAGCTTACTCTGCCTCTGATTGTGAGCTAGATGATAAATTGAATGAAAAAAAAACACTTTACTATATGCAAAGCACACAGAAAGAAATCAATGTTCGTTGTAATTAACTTACTAGTTTCTCCTGCCTCACCCTGCCCCCCCCAAAATAAAATAAAATAAAATAAAATAAGTGGCTTGAGAAAGTATAAGTGTCTGGATTTTGATAAAACTGGACTTCTCAAAATCTTTATTTCTCGGGCACACAGAGAAAAAGAACAATGGTTTTCAGTTAGAAGGAGCAGTACTGCCAGGGGTGTTGTGACCTGTTTTGTGCCATATTTACTTACGTTAAAGTGAGCAGGTGTCAAACTCAACCAAAAATTTAACCACAGGTGAGATTAGGTAAGAAAACAAACTGAGCATATGTGTGCATGTATATAGCTACACACATACATGTATGTGTATATGCACATGTTCATATATAGGTATATACACATACAGGCATGCATTATATGTTTATATACACACACGTGTGTATGCATGTATAGATATGTGTGTAGGTGTACGTGTTTATGCCTATATATATATATATATCTATGTGTATGTATTTAAATAAAAGTAATTATAATACCGAGAATTCATGTTGCCTTATAAAGTTTATAAGGTGCTGTTCCATATGTTCTAACATCTGATTCTCACAAGAAGCTGTGAGCTGGGTGCTACTAGCTTTCTTATTTCACATATAAAGAAATGGAAGTTTAGAAGGGCATCAAATAAACAAGAGACCCTGCAGTTGTTCATAGATGCAAAGATTTAGAGCTGGAAGAGTTAGAGAGAAGAAGATGATGGAAAAGCATTCATTAAGTACCTACTGTTTACCAAATACTGTGCTAAATGCTTTTTACACAGATGATTTCACCTGATCTTTACAGCAACCTTTGAGGTGGGTGCTATTATGATCTACCTTTTGCAGTCGAGGTAACTGAGGCAGACAGAGGTTAAATGAAATGTCTAGTCACACAGTTCTTATCTGAGGCAGGATTGGAACTCAGGTCTTCTTGACTCCAGATCCTATGCTCTATCGTTTACATCCTCATTTCATTCTGTATGTATGTATGTATGTAGTACATGTATGCATGCATATTGTATATGTATGAATATATGATACACAATATACATGTACACAGATATGTAAATATACACACATATAAATGTGTATATGTATGTCTATAGGCAATCTCACCCATAATGTTGATCTTTATTGTTGTTACTATTATTATCATTAGCTAAAGAAAGAGTACTTACTTTCAAATGTATGCAAAGTCATTTATCTATCTGTCATGTGGGTATATGTGTGTATAGATATAGTTATAGATACACACCACCGCCCCCCCACCAAAGTTGGCTTTGCACTTGAGTCCCCTACTCCATCAACTTCACTATGCCCCTATGCTTAAATCACTTCATGTTATCATTGCTCCCCTGAGTTTCTTTTTCCTCCTTTGCCTGGATTCGGTTGTTATTGTCATCGCTACATTCCTTTTCTCTAAACTGTATTTGCTCCCTCTTATTTTTATTTTGGGGGGCAGTGGAGAAGGAGAAGAACATTCTTTCTCTTTTTTTTAAATTTTTGCCCCCAGTAAAAGTCAGTACCCAGAGAAGAGACCGCTCTGAATCATCATAGCCCAGGTGGGCCAGCGGCCATCAAAATGAATCGATTTCTGAAAGCCAAATATTGTTTAGTTATTATTTTTTTAAAAAGCTACAAAGAGCAGCTCCTCAACTCCCCAAGTTTTTATTCTACCAAATAAATGCTTCTTGTCTTCTCCTTTTCTTGGCCGGCTTCAGGAGCTGAAAAGCTGAGTCTCTGAGCGAGTTTTAGTCCCTGCTCTGAATGGTGTGACTATTGTTTTCTGATGTTCTGAAGCTCATCCTTATGCCTGTGCCTCACCAGGCATTTCATTGCCTCCTTGGGAGAGAAGGACTTGTAACAAAACCTGGCCCCTCTTTGTTTGTGATAGGGATGTCCTTGCAGGGTGGATGGCTGCCTCTCTCTTTGCCTACAATTACTCCAAAGAAGACAGTTGACCTGCACACTTTAAAAGCATATGCCCAAAATGCTGGATTGTGGTTCCCATGGCAACCCCGACTCCCTTTCTTATACATATAGTTCTCTGTTGCATTATGTGATATTAAACATATGCAGCATGTCTGTAATTACCTCTCCTCATTCTCGGGTGTGTAGATGGATGTCTGGGGGAAAGGCTAAAGGAGGAGAAAACGGTATTGGTCAGAGATTAGAAAAAAATGGAGGGTTTGCTTCAAAATCTCACGCATAAGGTCGATCTTTATTGTTATTATTTCTTGGTAAAGAAAACGGACTCCTTTCAAATTTGTGTTTGAACTGGAGGTGAGGTGTGGGCGTCTTAGATCCTACCTTCAAAGCAGTAAGGGGACATGCCTGAAACATAAGGGAACCCAACACTGAAACCATTTTTTTAAAGCAGAGAATTATTTTGCAATACAGATGACTACAGCAGTTCTAAGATGGTTTGAGGAATGTGGCTCAACCTGGTTATAAACATAAGGAAATACCCATTTGTCATTTAGCCAATTTTTAATCCAAAGACTTAATTTAATTTTTCTTTTCCGAACCTGAGTTGTAAATTGTCCTCATTCTAGTTTGGACAAAAAGTAAAGATGGACGGATTCCCCATTCAATGTGATCAGCCAGTTGCCCTGGTCGTAGTGGACTAGAGAGTCTGCCATCTGTGACTAAAATATTCCCTTTACTTCTCACCTAGGTGTCTTCCTAGTCAGTAGACTGAAACTAATAGCTGTCTCGACTGCAAGATTAGAGATATAAGGGTGAGTACTCCTGAGCAGGCCATGCTGATTAAAAAGGATTGCTTTATAGGCCCCCACTCTTGAGTTGAAATAATCAGTTTGAAACCTGAGAAATTTTAAAATGTAGCAGGAAATCAAAGTAGAATTTTTTCATTAAAGTATATGCGCCTTTAAATGGTCAACATTTTTGGTCTTCCAAAAAGTCCTTGGATTTTTCTTTGGATGCAAAGGGGTCTGTGTCAAGCATCTAGACAGAAAAAAAAAAGTGAGTTAAATGTTAACCTTCAGAGATCAGTGTCAGTGAAGAATGTTTGTGGGTTAGGAAAATAGACTGTCAGTCGAGACCAGTACAAGCCCAGATTCTTTCACAAACTCATTGTTCTATCTAAGGAAAGTCATTTAACTTATCTATGCTACAAACCAGACTCCTGGATTCGGGGAGATCCACCGGCAGCACACAGCCCTTTCTTATCAATGTGTCTGTTATCTAAATTTTGTATCATCCTCAGCCGTGCTCCACACACTAAGGGCATTTAATAAATGTTTGGTGAATGAATCAGTGCTGTAGCTAGGTACATGACCTTAGACCAGCCAGTTAATCGCTGTACCTCAGTGTCCTCATCAGTTGATCTCTCACAAGTCCCTCACAGCTGATCTTAAAATTAGGGCATCTCTAAGATGCTATCATGCTTTAAGATTCTAAGATTCTACATACCCCCATAGACCATATAAGAATCAGAAATGTACCGATATTAATTAGCATTAATATATCATTTATATAACATGGCACCCTTGTTCCGAAAATAAGGAAACAGAGACTCAGAAAGTTTAAATGACTTGCCTGGGGGTCACACAAGTTGTGATGACCTTGAAATTTGAACCCAGTCTCATGATTCTCGGCCTTATGCTTTATCTCTCCAAATGGCCTTGCCATATTTCTGTAAAGAAACTGAGGTTCTTCCAAGCAAATGATATGATGGAGATCCATTGGGTTTGGTGGTAACTGGACATTTGATGTTCTGTGGCTGCCTATGCAGGTGGCTTCATTTTCATATTTAAAAACTGCAAAAGATGCCCAAGATGGGGAGGTAGATTGCACTTGGGTTGTGTATTCTCAGATCAGCAGCATCCTTGACCCACAGAGCTCTGCTTCCAGACTTGCCAACATTCCATTTCATGGGGGCTAATGTCTAGGAAGATTCAATAACCCATGGATCTCCATATTCTTTTTTTCCTAGGCTGTTTGAAGGCTGTCCATTCTCATCTGCCCGATACTCTTTGGGCGACTGTGTAACAAACTCCAAGGGGATTGTAGGACAAAGTTACCGTTTCACCCAAATACCCTCTAGGTTGTACCTCCTTGTAAGGCTAACAAAGCTGGTATGGTGTGCTGCTGAAAGCCAGGCTCAGAACACTAGGGGACAATTCAGGGGAGGTAATGCACTGTGAATTATTCGACTGGGGCTGAGTTCCCTTCTCTTTCAGGAACAGAAGTTAAAATATCTGGAAAAATGTGTGTGTTCTACCATTTTGAAAGCATAGTTTTAGATATATTCCTCAAAATTTTATTATGCCTTGCTCTCTTGGAATATTAAATACTAGACTATACAGCACAGATAAATTCATTTTAGGAAAAAAAAAATTAGCCATAGCTGACTATTGTGGTTGGAATTATATGTTCCCCTAAGATTACAAAATATCTACGTACCCATTACAATCTTTCTCTAAAGCATCATCACGCCAAGGCAGTGACGCTGGTTCTCAATGGTTGTGTTAGAACGTGCGGGCTAGAAAGGCTCTGAGCACAGGCCCAGGGACAGACGGTATGCCTCCCACCTGAGGACAGGACCAGTCTGGCTAGTTTCAGAGAGGTTTGTCACCAGTTTGGCGACAGGGGGATGGACATTTTTGTTCATGGGAATCCTTGGGAGATAGAAATGATAAATCTGTGTTGGTGGGGACAATATCCTGCATCTGTGGAATTCTAGGTTTTTGGAGAATAAGTGTGTGCATTTTAACTACTATACCGATACACATGTATTTCAGTCCATTTGTATGCATATCTCTACATGCACGTGTATGCACAAATACACATTATGCTCATACACGATTCTATTCTGTCAATATACATGTACGTTCATACATACAGAAGCATTTTAATTGAAAGGAAATGTGTACATTTATAAGTGCATACATTATGTAGACACATACACATATATGTAGAAATATTTTAATTAAAAAGAAATGTATACGTATATATGTGTATATATTATATATGTGTATATATACATATACATACGCACATATATACATATATATGTATACACACATACACACACATATATTTATGTTTAGTAGTAAAAATGTACCCTTTGGGAGTCATAATTTCTGTCAAAGTGGGAACCCTTTCAGGACAGGGAAAAGAACACTGGCTTTGGATTCGTAGGGTCAGGGTTTAAACATTCCCTCTGCCATTTATCCTTTGTGACTTCGTGCTGGTTACTAGGAGTGCTAGGTGGTGCTATAGTGCATAGAGCTTGGAATCAAGAAAATTCATCTTCATGAGTTCAAATCTGGCTTCTAAGACTAACTGTGTGACCCTGGGCTAGTCACTTAACCCTATTTGCTTCGGTTTCCTCATCTGTAAAATGAGCTGGAGAAGCACATGGCCAGTAGCTCCAGTCGTCTAGCCAAGAAGACCACAAACGGGGTCAGGAAGAGTCGGACAAGACTGAAACAACAAACCAGTTACAAAACCTCTATTGGCCTCAGATTTCTAATCTGTAAAATGAGAAGGTTAGATTCAGCAGTTCCTTCCAGCTCCTAATCCATGAATCTGTGGACTTTCCCCACACACAAAGAATAATCTCTTTTATAACTTGGGTTTTCCTGTTGACCCCCCACCAAAAAAAACCACATCACTCCATAGCCAAACAGATGATGAACTTTTGTGAAATTCATGCATGACAGATAAGTATGTATACAGCAAATATATGTGTGTACACAGTAAGGCAGCACAGTGGCTAGAACACTGGACTTAGATCCAGGAAGACCCAAGTTCAAAATCTTTCCGCAACACTTATTGGCTATGTGACCTTGGGCTATTCTCTTAAGTTTTATTTACCTCAGTTTCCTCCTCTGTAAAATGGGGATAACAATAGCATCCACCTCCCAGGGTAAAGTAAATTCTTTGTAAAAGGCTTTATAAGCCTTAACTTTTATAAGCTGTATATTATTATTATGTATTTCTATTGAATTAATGTGCATATTTATAGATATATTATCTGCATTTGTCATCTGCCATATAAATAAATATGTGTGTACATTATCTGTCGGTCTATCATCTATCTGATTTTTTTTTCTTCTCCCCTCCAGACTGGGGTGCGATTGCTCACGACTTTGTAGTCTTGTAGTTTCTTGAGGCCACTGAGATGTGGACTAACTTGTTCAGGGGACACAATTATTCATCTGTCAGAGGCAGGTCATGATCCCAGGTCTTCCAGACTCTGGGGAGCTCTGTTATGTCATTCTGCCTAAGGTCATTTCTCACAAAATGCAGAGAACTGACCATCAGCAGAAAGATGCATGCCCATGCCGCACATATCCACCGTGGCTGAATCGCTCTATAGTAGACTACCTCTATTCTCCCTCCCAGACTAGCCTTGCCCGCCTTTGCCCATTTTCTCTAGGGATAGAATGGGAAGGGAAGGATGATCACCACTGTTTCTTTGTCTTTGAGATCCTGCAGAGCTCAACATTTAATTTTATGCTGATTCAACAGCGCACGATCCCATCCCTGACATTAAATCTCACAGAGAATTCGCAAGGATTAATAAAAGGATACAAGGGCTAATTATTAATTACCTACGAATGTCTGCTGCTACTCTACCCCTTCCTCCATAACCATTTCAGGAATAGCTTAAACCCTGCTGTTACCAGGGCTGTTTTCCCTCTTACAGTCAATGCCCTTCCTCACATTTGGTTTAAATACAGTACAAAAAAAAATATTCTGACTAAAATGAGATCAAATATTAGGCACTTGCACTTGTCCTAGTGATCATTTCATCTTCCAGATTAATGAGCAGCTGTTGAGATTTGCTCAGGGAGGGGCCTGATGAGCTGGATTCCCTACTTCCTGGGAAGCTAATTTGTAACTATTTCTGATTCTTTAGAACTTCAAGGAGCTAGGTGGCACTGTGGATATGGTACTGAGCCTGGAGTCAGGAAGACCTGAGTTCAAATGTGACCTCAAATTCTTACTAACGGTGTGACCCTGGGCAAGTCACTTCACCCTGTTTGCCTCAGTTTTCTCATCTGTAAAATGTGCCGGAGAAGGAAATGGCATCTTTGCCAAGAAATCTCAAATAAGGACACAAAGAATTGGACATGACTGAAATGATTGCACAACAAGAATTTCAAAAAGTCTTTACTAAAGGAAAATAAGCAATGGGTAGAATGATTTTTGGAATACTTTTGCTGCCCACCTGGTACTTTTATTCTGCCTGCTGAAAATAGCTCACTGTGGCTTTCAAGCAAGTAAGTGTTTGCCCATCTAATCAAACCTAAATAGCATTAATAAAGGTCATAAATCTAGGGATGGAAGGGGTCCCAATCAGTCTAACCTCCTCATTTTGCAGAGCAGAGAATCAGAAGGGTGTAGAGGACAGCACAAAGTACCCTTGTTCTGGAGTCATCGAAGAACCTGGGTGCAAACTCTGAGCAAGTTAATCTCCGCCGACCTCAGTTTCCTCATCTGTAAAATGAAAACGTTGGACTAGGTTCCTTCCGGCGCTAGAACTGTGGTTCTAAGAGGCCTTCAGATGCTTACTGTTTTGTTTGAGGTCATACAGGTAGGTAGTAAGTGGCAGGTCTATGACTCGGTATGCAAGGCAATGTACAAAGTGTTAGGAATAAAAAAGAAAAAGAAAAACAACTCTGTGCACTGAAGAAGCATGTGTTCTCCTGGAATGCTGCTACATTAGAAGTGCAGCAGGCACATTGCAGACTATTGATGCTAATGAAACAAGGCTAGATACCCCAGGAGGACTCTTCTCCCCAAACATACCTTTTTGGGGAGTTTCCATATATTTTAACATTTTTAGTTTGGTCGGAAGCCACGGTTGTAATTCAGGACCCTGGATCAGTCAATTTGAACAAGCTGATTGTGCCTGAATGGGAGTCAGAGGAAGACACTGTTCTTTATTGGAAAAGGCAGCAGATTTTAAAAATGGGTTCAAATCTAAACTCTGCAGCTTTTCATCTGATTGTCTTTGGGCAAATCACTTTAAAGTTCTTCCTCCCCAGGGCTCTTCTTACCTTTTCAGCCTTATTCCTCCTTTCTCCCCTCCACACACTCTGCTATCTAGCCATCTCCTTGGAGATTCTCCATCTCCTGCCCTACATGCCTAGAATGTTCTGCTTTCTCTCCACTTCCTCCTTTCTATCACTTCCTTCAAGATTCAGCTCCAATCCTGAGTTCTGCAGAGACTCTTTCTAGCCTTATCTTTCCTTCAGCTAGTAATGCCTCTTTTTGTTTTTTAGCCTATTTATTGTTTTCATCATCTACTCCTTGTTTCTCTGGTATGTACCTGTCATTTACAGGTTGTGCACTCCTATTAGAACGTAGGCTCCTTGAGGGCAGAGTTTTTGTTTGTTTCGTTTTTGTTTTTTTGTCTTCCTGTCTCAAAAAGTTAGCATAAGATCTGGTGCATGGTTAATAAATACTAATTGACTGATTGACCTTAACTCTCTGGGCCTCAGTTTCCTCATATGTAAAACAGCAGGGTTAGACTAAATGGTCTCTAAAGTTCAACTTTATATCATATATTGTACATGTTGTTCAGTCATTTTTCAATTGTTTCTGACTCTCCATGATCCTATTTGAGATTTTCTTGGAAGAAATGCTGGAGTAGTCTGCCATTTCCTTCTCCAGCTCATTTTACAGATAAGGAAACTGAGGCAAACAGGGTTAAGTGACTTCCCTAGGGTTACACAGCTAATGTCTGCAGCTGTAGCAATAGGTTGTTCAATAAGAATACTCTGAGGGGGCAGCTAGGTGGTGCAGTGGATAGAGCACTGGCCCTGGAGTCAGGAGGACCTGAGTTCAAATGCGGCCTCAGACACTTGACACTTCCTAGCTGTGTGACCCGGGGCTAGTTGCTTAACCCCAACTGCCTCACCAAAAACAAAAACAAAAAAACCCAAAAAACAAGCAAAGAAACAAAAAATAACCAAACGAACAAAACTCTGAACTTCGCTAATATCATAGAAAAAAATTAAGGAACAATGCTACTAATGGGTAGGATTCAAACCTAGGTTGCTGACTTTGGTTCAATGCTCCTTTGGCTATACTGTTCTGCCTCTCAAAAATCAGGGACTCTTTTCAGGAAAAAAGTCTCTAAGGGCTCTTTGGAGATGCAATAATTTAATAGGGGGAAAAAATCCTACTGACATTGGAAAGTTGAAGGTTTCCAACCTCATGCATATTTCAGATACCTGTACAATAGAAAACTTGAGTATTTGTGAATCTTTCCAGTTTCTCTCTATCTAATCACTGTCTTGCTGCATATTTAGTATATTTTCTATGTTAAATTTCTCATCTGGGAATAAATCTACTAGTGATTAGAAATATAGTGTCAAGCCCAGGTCAGATTCAATTTTGCTAGCATCAGTATATTTATTCTTCAGTCTAAATATTGCTTTTGAATACCCAGGCTATATAAAAACATACAGTAAACCATGCCAGGTTGTCAGCTGAATGGTCATTGGGTCTGGTCCTGGCACACTAGGTTCAGTGGATGTGTTTTTGGTTTTTTTGTTTTTGTTTTTGTGGTTTGTTTAATTTCACATAGGCCATGTGGCATAGTAGTGTGAGAAGTTTACTTAGAGTCCAAAGAGCTGGATCTGAATTTGGAGTGTGCTCCTATTATGACCTTGAGTTAGTCACTTCTCTCAGTTTTCCCATCTGTAAAATAATAAATCACCTCTATGCCCTTCCAGGTTTACATCCTCTGATTCTAAAAGCAATTTAACACAGAATGCCAAGTCGTTTTGTGGAGTTCCTGGGATCTTACACAGATTGTATGGCCTTCAGCACATTAGGCAAAGAGTAGCATGTTTTTGTCTTCATTCTTTTGCTACAATTAGCAGCCATATGGAGAAACCCAGTAGATCAGTTAAAATGACCTTTTGTCAAAGTGATGTAGCAGCATCTAAGGGTCATTGAGGCTGCATTGTCAATAATTCTTAAAATTTGCATAGTTTGATTTTTCTTGTTTTTGTTTTTAATGGCCAAGACCTGTGGGCATGTAAACATTTGCACTGATGATGTAGGAAGGAAGTTGTGAATTTAGCTTTTAAAGCATCAATAAAAACAAATTTGAAAGTTATTTTCCATTAAAAAAGACCGGTCATAAGAAATTAACATTGTTTGGATTTTGCTTCTCCAGACCATTGGTATCTAGTTAATGCTCAAGGCAGTGTGAAAAGAGATTGGAGTCCAGAGAACTGGGAATTCCTCCTGATACATTTACAGGGCAGCTAGGTGGCATGGTGGATAGAACACTGGGCCTGGAGTCAGGAAGACCTGAGTTCAACTTCTGCCTCAGATACTTATTAACTGTGTGACTCTGGGCAAGTCCCTTCACCCTGTTTGCCTCAGTTTCCTCATCTGTAAAATGAGCTGGAGAAGGAAATGCAAACCACTCTAGTGTCTTTGCCGAGAAGACCCCAGTGGGGTCATGAAGTTGAACATGACCAAACAACAACTTTTATTAGCTATGACTGGAGCAAGGAGAATAACTTCTCAAACTCATTTTCTCATCTGTATAATGGGAATAATGGGCCTTTCATTACCTAACTCACAGAGTTTTTGTATGTAAAGAGCTTTTCAGGCCTTAAAGTGCCATAGAAAGGTGAGGTGTTTGGCCAGTTGTTAATGTAACAGTATTTCATTGTTCTGGGATTTCATTCATGTAACCCTTTCCACTGAAACTGTTCACGGACCCCAAACCCATCATCTACTTCTCGTGCTGTGGGAATCACATGTGCTTTGAAAATCCTTCAAAGGAGGCCCAACTAGTGTCCTGGGGACCTTCTTCTAGGTCTAGGTGTCAGTGTGACATGAGGACTAATCCTTTAGCAATGAGACTAGCCAGGTTACCCTGTATCTATCAGGTGTGTGCGTGTGTGTGTGTGTGTGTGTGTGTGTGTGTCTGTGTGTGTGTGTGTGTGTACAAACACACATTTTTGAACACAGCTTTTTGCACACAATTTCTCATTGCTAATATGTTGCAGCCTATTCACATCCCTGACATCTCTCTACTGCACTGAGTGACTCGAAATTTTGACTGTTCAGGGCTTGTGGTAGTCTGTGATTTACAGCTATATAGCAATGCTTGGAGAATATTGATGTTAAAATGATAGGGTTTTGTTTCAGGAAGAATACTACACAATCTTCATGATACAGTCCTGTCTTTTCTCTTCTTCCTATTAAAACCTGGGCCCAGTTCGTTGTCTAGTGCCTTCCAAGATATGTTACTATCTCGACAAACTGTTCATCCAAATGCATATTATAGTCTGGACACAAGACATTCTTAGCTTCCTTTTTCCTGTGTGGCTAGTCAGTCCAAACTCGTTTGGGTGATTATGATCTGATTTAGGGAGCTCTAAGGTGCTTCAGGGCTCGACATAATCATCATGATATCTGTCCCTCCTCACCTGGGTGGGCACCTCTCTTCCTTGCTCTGCACTCAGTTTTCTCAGTGAGGAGCAAACATCTTTGTTGAGCCCTTCTCCGTTTTATGCCTCGAATGATATCACAGCATCAGCTAAGTTACTTCTAATATTTCATAAATCAAAGAGTCCTTCATGATCGTAATATTTACCTGGAGGACATTTTCTTGGGGGGAGAGGCTTTAAAGCTGAATTTTGCTTTTCAGACACATTTTAAAATTTTAAATATTTTTATAAATATATTTATGTATTTTAAATATTTTTAAACTGTTAAACAATAAGCACAGTAGGTTCTTACATTCTCTCTAGTTTTCTACTAATTACCTAGCCACAAAAAAAAGTAGTTTAGTATAGGATACTGTTTGTGGAAGCCAGTCTATCTTCTCATACCTTCATGAAGGATGCTCTTGATATGGCTATGTTGCTGAGTTGTTTCAGTCATGTTCAACTCTTTGTGATTTCATTTGGGGTTTTCTTGGCAAAGACACTAGAGTGGTTTTCCATTTTCTTCTCCAGCTCATTTTATAGATGGGGAAACTGAGGCAAACAGGGGTAAGTGACTTACCGAGGGTCACATAGCTAGTAAGGGTTTGAGGTTGGATTTGATCTCAATAAGAGTAGTCTTTCTGATTCCAGGCAACCATTTTATTCATTGTGCCATCTAGCTGCCCTGATATGTCTATATATTAGTCTTATAAAGATTTTGGAGAGGTGAAAAAAGAGCCTATTGGTCTTTTTTTTGGGGGAGGGGTTTATTAGTGTCCATAATTTTCCCACAATCAACTGGCATCATCCCTTATTTCAGATGATTACAAAAGGAATTCATGGATATGTTAAAATTGTGCCTCCTTTAACAGGGGCCTTTTCTGTGTGTTCTTGGCCTTATCCAGCTGATCTTTTCAACATTAGTGCCATTTCTACTTCACCTGTTTCACTCTCATTTATTACTTGAGGAATTGTGATGTTGAATACAAATGGGATTATTCCACTATCATTGAAAATGTGAAAGAAAAAAAGGCATTTGAATACTATACTCTGAATTTAGGCATAAGTCTGCCAGAAACAATGCTTATCAATTTATTATTATTCTAAATTCAAGCATTGATGGAGACACAGACAAAGACACAGAGACAGAGATATCCAAGATGGTAGAGTTTTAGGGTAAAGGTTAGGGTTAGGGTTAGGATACCCTTGGATATGTCTCTCTAAAACAGATCAATACTTGAATGTCAGTTGAATTAAAAAAGGAGATTTTTAATACGAGGAAAATAACTTGGTGTAGAAATTTTGAAAGTTTGCTTTTTTCCCTCAGTTTTCCTTCTTCCTGTTTTATCCTTAAATATTGTTGGGGTGAGTGGTCTATTAGGATTGGGTCCCACTCCAAACTTTTTGTAAACCAAGTTTTCCTTACAGTGCCTCTTACCATTT